CCTCTCCAGTAATGGGATTGATGCTATTTTCCAAACAGAGCTACCGAGTCCTAGGCTTGCTTCAGCCCAGGGGGGAAGGAGGACGAGCCCATTTTCCTGCCTTTCTGTGGAATATAGCTGCACACAAAGCTGTTCAGAACTGTTGGCTTCCTCAAAGGCTCTGTTCCAGTAGACAACAAAAGGACAAACCAGTTTTGTGGCCTCTTTCTTTAGCACAGGTGTAGGAAGAGTTACTGCAGCCCTGTCTGTCCCCTGAATACAGAGGCTCATTCCCAGCTGTACCTCCTGACATGTGTTCAGGCTGCAATCCAAAACATCCACAGGAGAAAGAAGGAAGAGGAATGAAATTGGTAAAAAAATGCATTAAAAAGAAGTAGAGGCTAGAACTAATAGAGTTAATTGCTCTGCCCAGGTTTGTGCCCGCAGGGTGTGTATAGATGAGTGCTAGTAATGAAGCTCTTCAGCAGGGCTGGGGCAAACTCTGTTCTTAAGGTCAAACAATCTATCAAGATGAAAATGTTGAAATAATCCTTTCCACGAACGCCGCTCAGTATGGCTCAAATTGCTTTTCAGCGGTGCTTGGTGCTTTTGTTGACTTAAAGTAAATTAAACGTTATTCTTTTCTAATTAGATAGGTTAGGAGATCTCAGTAAGTGCTACTTCCTACTAATTTAAAGACTAGAACTAGTTTAAAGCAATTAAAGCTTAACCCCCCCCCCCTTTAAATAATGAATTAATACGGGATTTGATTTAATGAGGAAGCAACTGGGGGTTAAGTGACACACTCAGGTGGGGATGAGAAGGAAACGAAGCCAGCACAGAGCCAGCAGTGCAGCCACGGGGGTGGCTATTAGGGAGCGAAGTGGGTTTTTTTCTTCTTGACAGGCAGTGGCAAGTATATGATACATTCAAAGCTCTTCTCAGTTGTCTTTAACAACGATTTTTATAGGTCAGTCCATTGGGTGTAGGTGCAGGGGCCTCTGTGAGAGTGGCTCGGGCTGCCCCGTGCCGTACCCGGCTGGTGCCAGCAGGCTCCGACCGACTGGGCCCCACAGACCAGCTGGCAGCACCTCGGGGAAAGTGTATTTAAGAAAGGGCAAAAACCCTGCAGGGGCAGAGGAGGAGGGGAAAAGCAGCGTGCAGCAGCCATGTGAACGCCAAGGTGAGAGCAGGGGGAGGGTGAGGAGGTGCTGCAGGTGCCGGGGCGGAGATCGCCGGCAGCCCCAGGAGGAGCCCGCACCACGGTGGGATCCGCAGCCCGTGGAGAGCCCACGCTGGAGCAGGTTTACCCTAAAGGACTGCAGCCCATGGAGAGGGCCCACGCTGGAGCAGGGGGAACACGTGAGGAAGGGGCAGCAGAGAGGAGCTGTTACAGACTGACCACAACCCCGTTCCAGCACTGCTGCAGGGGGGAGGTAGAGGAGGGAGGAATGAAGATGTGAAGTTGAGCCTGGGAAGAAGGGGCAGGGGGGGGAAGTGGTGGTTTAAATTTTTTTACCTTTTGTTTCTCACTATGCAAGTCTATTTTAATTGGCAATAAATAACTCAAGCCTCTTTTGCTCATGATGGTAACCGGCAAGCAGCCTCCCCACCTTTATCTCAACCCGTGAGCTTTCCATTTTCTCCCTCATCCAGTTGAGGCAGTGGAGTGAGTGAGGGGCTGGGTGAGCATCCCACCACCGTCAGTCATCTACAGACAGGGTCATCAGATGCAGGAAGCCTCATGGAGAGGGCAACTCTGCTAAAAAAAAAGAGTCTGGAATAAGAATCGACCAACTGCAAGATACAGAAAAAAGCCACAGCCCCAACCAACTCTCTTTCAAATGTGAACTTGCAAACTTCACATTTTTGAGAACGGGTTCTGGCACATTTTGCACACTTTTTTTGGGAGGTAGAGAACTATCCTCAAACTTCCAAAGACCTTTAAAGTCTTGTTACAACCGGGCAAACAGCCCACCTCAAAACGCTTGTGAGAACATCTTCTACTGAATCTCAGTAACACAGAAGCAACAAAGAAGATTTTTTGTAACAAGAGGCCCTCTGCTTATGGCTGAGTTCCCTTAGGGGGTGAGATGTCATTTGATTACTGTAGCCTTACAAGTTTTATATTACATATCATACCATACTGTAACACAGCAATGCATGCATGCTCATGCATAAAGAATTTCGCAATAAAAATGATAATCCTTGATTGGCCTTATTATTCTAACTTGTCTTATAAATAGTTAAAAAGATGGCTTCCTAAAATAGCACATGAACAGTACCTTATTTGCCATGCAGAGCCTCTAACAGGATAACGTTAAAGATGAGACTCCTGTGTTCCAAATATTTGTATTCTGTTGAATGGTACAAATGTGAGAAGTGAATGTCACAGGAACAGTTACCACGCTAAAAAGAGTTTGAGAGCTGCTTATGTGAAGACAAGAGCCACTGACAACATGACAAAAAGCCCAACATCTTAATGAGAATAAGAGCTGTCATGTATTCTGTCCTCTACCTCTTCCCAATGCTTTCTCATTTCTTCCCCCCCCAGTTCAATAAATTAAGCTAGAGCTGTTATGGGAGGCTTTTATTTTGAACAAAACCAGTGAAAACACAATTTACACTGAAAGCCAAAGCTGAGGCAAGTCACATTTGTTGTTGTTGTTATTTGCTAGCTGTTGTAGGTGGGATCCACTCTTGCACCTTCTTGCGAGTAGTGGAGTAAGGTACGTACTGTCTGGGAGTGCCACTCAGATTGAATTTATGGTTCTCCCAGATAAATTTACGAGCAACTGGTGGATGAGTAGTTGGAGGGTCATCCGTCATTGAGTGAAGCCAGCGATGCCTTAAGAGGAAAAACACACATTGTTATTAAGGAACACTGCATGATCAGTAACAAGCCTTCCTCCTGACCTCCCAAGGGTTCTCGTCTGAAAAGACACCAAGTATTCATTTTGAGAGGGAGGAAAAATAATTTTAATCCACTATGACTTCGAATGAGATTACAGGAGACTGATTTAAACGAATTACACAAACACAATTGACAAACAACAGTTCTGCTTCTAAGCAACTGAAAGCACACCTGAGTCTGAATTTCCTGTTCCTTTGTACGCCTGGTACTTGGGCAGAGAGTATTTCATTGTTACGTGTTTGTGTGGCTTCGGTTTGTAGGACCAACTAGCCAGGTCAAGGCAGGCACTACAAATGACAAAACCACAAGGTTTTATTTTGTTGTCTGGGCTTTGTTGTGGGGTTTTTTTGCAGATTTTTGTGTGTGTGCGTTTGTTTTTTGTTGGGTTTTTTTTTTTTGAGGTGGTTTTGCGTTTTTTGTTTGTTTGTTTGTTTTTTAATTTACCAGAATACTCTGCCCAACAATTTCAATACCATCTCCAAAGCACTCATGAGGCTACTACTTGGGACATGGATTAATGATGCAGGTTCACCTAAAACAATCACAGAAATGTTCACTGACTGCACAATAAAATGATTAATACTAATCAGTAATGGGGTAATTACCAAGCGATTATAGTGATTATCCTTTACCTATGAACTAAATGTCAATCCTCCCCTGTGCAAACAACATTAATGATCAAGTATTTTCCATAACAATTTACTGAAACACTACAGCAGGGATCAACTGAATTGATTTCATTCCATTTCTGTTTCAGTGCCCAAAGCAACTTTCAAACCTGAACAACATTTTCATTATCTGCCAGCTTACACGTACTTCATACTGTCTCCACAGTTATGACAGAAGTGAAGTTATGACTTTTTTTGCAACCTTATGTATTTTTTTACTGAGGTAGAATTAAAAAGGCTTCTGCTAATCAGCTTTTGCCAAAGACTTGACCTAAAAATAAGAAGTCTTCTATTCCAGTTGTTACGAGAAAGCCTGAAAATTGAATCTTCAGCCTTTAGCAACAAATCTGGCACACTTCATTGATAGTGCAAAACAAAACTACAATAAAAGTAGTGAGAAATAGACTGACAAGTATATTCTAAATCTGAAAAGCTCTACAGAAGGTTGATTATCTTTTCAGTCAAATAACTTCTAGACATGTATTTCATAAAAATAAACACTCACAACTTTGGATATAACTTTAATACGAAATCTCACCTAAAAAAACCCAAACCTGTCAGCCACATGTTCGTTTTCTGTAAGTAAAAACCAAAAAAAAACCCCAAACGAAAGTCACACATTGTAGGACTAAGGACTGCCCGGAAACTGGCTTAAATACAAAACCAGATGGAACCATAAGACCCTCTAAAAGAAAGAACTAAAAACCCTGTTTAGAGGTGAAAAATGGCCTCCTATGGGAAAAATCATCCACTTATGATTTGAAAGTTATGCACATGTTCAGATGAAGTGACCCAATGCAACCTGAATCCCTCTCTTCCTCCCCCCACTCTCCTTTGTAAATCTGGTACCATCTGAAGTATACATTTCTCACTACTACTACTAAAAAAGATTTTGGGTAATGACTTCTGTCTGTAAGAAGGCAGCCCCCCCCATGACACTACTAATCAACATGTGGTCTGAGGATATAGCATCAGCCCTTGCTCCATTTTATACCTGCTGTTACCAGCTCTGAAATGCCCTGGCCACATCACACAAAGCTCTGACCTCAGGTAAACTCCCTCTCCCAACTGACGCCTGTTAGAAGAACTCTGTGTACAAGCGTGCTTCACACCACCCGAGACACCACGTGTCCTACGACAGCTAGCACCAAAGTTGGCAGAAATGCTGTAACACAGCTAAGTTGACAAAGGTGACGTCATATGCTCATACCCAACAAGCCAGCTCTCCACTGCTAACACAAAGAAACACACAGTTTGTGGCATGGGAGGAAGGGGAGAAGAACAGTCCACGTACCCATGCACATTCTGCCAATACTGACTTAAGTCCTGCATTTCAAAATGCTTCGTAGCATCACTCCAGAGGAGTCTCAGCTTTTCAAAACTGCTTATTGTAACACACAGGGGCCACTTCACAGGCGAGAGAGTTGGGTGGAGAGGAACCTGATGAAGTCGAACAGGGACAAGTGCAAGGTCCTGCACCTGGGGGTTGACCTGCTGGAGAGCAGCTCTGTGGAGAAGGCCCTGGGAGTTCTGGTGGACAGCAAGTTACCCATGAGCCAGCGATGTGCCCTTGTGGCCAAGAAGGCCAGTGGTATCCTGGGGTGCATTAAGGAAATCAGGCTCAAATTCAAATAAATCAGCAAATCCTTAAATCCCATTTTCTTACTGGAAAGTAGAAATAAAATCGCACACCTATGAGACATGTCAGTAGTCACAGATACTGAAATACCTGAAAAGATTTCAAAAGTTTGTTTAGAACTCCATTCACTACTAAGTATGCTTATATTTAAGAGTTTCAGGGCTTAAGCCTGGTCACAACAGATTCATTCCACTTAGAAGCCCCACATGAGACTTACAAAAGCACTTCCGTTTGCAGAGAGTCTGTTCTCTCAAACAGAAGCTCCCACTCTTCACTTAAGCAAAAATACGTAAAATCTGAAAACTTTATTTTGGGAAGACCTTCCCCCTTGACAACCTCCCTCAAAGAGTCCTTTGAAGCCCTGATGTCTCATAGACTCTACTCCCAGATGCTCAAGAAAAGCTTTTCATGCACTAGATTGAACAGCATAAATAAAAAGATTTGATGTCTTGCAGATGGCCAGATTTCTATACAAACTCTGCCTATAAATCCATGCATGAAAAAAAAACAGGATTCAAAAGCTATTAATGACTTAAAACCTACAAAGAAGCAGACAACTTACACAGAGCAAAGAAAATCAGGAGGATAGCAGAAGCTCTGAAGAGGCTGAAGCAGCTTCCTAAATCACAGAGCAGAGTCACTACCAAGCAGACTGAGGCTAGCAAAGCTCCTGGACTTTTCCTTGGGTGAACAGATGAAATACACCTCAGAATACCTTCAAAGACTATGTAGAATTTTCTCCCAAGTCTTAGACAAATATTTAAAAGCAAGGAGATTTCAAACTGAAGCTACGAGGGACCAGAGCCAATTATATGACGTACAAGCTGTCAAACAAGAACCGATGCTACACAAACTCTGTAGCTAGTACCATATGTGCATCTGCAAGGTTCAGGCACTGTCTACGTAAGTTCAGGATGTTTGCCAACTTGCTGGCATTCGCTTTTTTTCAACAAGCTAACCATACTGCAGTAAGACAAAAGAGAAGTGAAAACGTGTGTTATGGTCAAAGGGCAGGGAAGAATTGGAAGAGAAGGAAAAACGGACAAGAAACACATTTTTGTTTGTTTACATATGGGAGACAACTGATTTCTCATGCAGGCTACTGTAAGATACCATTGTATAGTAATGAGACAGCATCCTATTTACCTGAAAACACCACACTAGCATTTAGTGTAGTTATAAACCCCACTAATTTATTGTGAAGCTACTAAAAAGATGGAAATTTTATCCCCTCTCCCTTTTCTGTTCAATCTTTTTGTTTTGTTTTCCTTGGAGGCAGATTTGCAAAGCAGCAGTTTTACAGGAGAACAGCACATTTCTTTACATTTCTTAGCATAACGTACTCTGGCACTTTAAGTCTGAGATGCTACATTCCTCCCTCCTTCAGCTGTCAGATTGACTAACAAAGAGGATGCAGATTATCAAACTGAAGTTAAATTTGAAATATTTCATTGTATGAAGTCAGCACTCCTGAAGCTCCTTCCAAAGGTGTCAGATTTGCACCATAAGGAAATAAACATGAAAGTAGAGGACAGACATTACACATACATAGGACAGTGCTGGCAAAATGAACTGTCCCTGTGAAAGGAGAAAACTATTCTCAAATTACAGTTCTTCTCCCACAGCACATAACATATTGAAAGAGCAAATTATTTTTAACAAGTTTGTATACAGAAACCAGCTGTCAATTTGTTTTTGCAAAGTATTTGGCCAAAACACAACCCAAATTACATTAAACCAGATAAATGGTAAATGGTGTGCGGACAGCCATGAAAGGCTTGGAACGTGATGCCAGAGCAGCACACCTAGCATCTAGGATGTCAGGTGGTGACCTGCATGGACTTTATAGACTCTCCAAAGGAAGCCTTCCTGCACAGCATAACTGTGTTGAAAGTGGAAAACTGTGTTCCAAGTTGTCCCCCCTCAGTGGGCTCAAGCTTAACCACCCAAAATCCTCCAAATGCACACTCGTGCTCTTCCAAATTTCAGCTACAGGAGTATCCTGATCACTGAACAGCAAACAGAAACCCACGGCAGGAATAAGCAGACACAGAGTGAACTTCCCCATGAGATGTGAACATAACCTGAAAATCAAGACTGGTAACAGTATTTTTTTTTATTTTTTTTTATTTATTATTTTTTTTTTTTTTAAAAATGCTCTTCTTTCCTCTGATCCCAAACAGATTAAGGACATTGAGCTATTCAGTCCTCTCCCCTCACCTTGTTTCAGTGGAAATAACCAACAAGCCTTTAGAGGTGAGGATCAAAAAAATCAAGAAATACAAGTCTAGAAGGCATTCAGACACTCTGCATATGCTTTAGGCCCAAGCAAGCATCAGCTTCATCCACATCACTCCCAACAGACACCTGCTTAAGTTGTTATGGAGCTACTGTAATAGTGGCTTGCTCATCTTCCCAAATCAAGTTATGCTAGTGAAGATGAGCAGAATTTTTTAGTGGTAAGGATAGCAATGTCCAATCTGTATCACTCCTCCTGTAATTTAAATTTATTTCTTCTTATTCTACCCATCTATCTGTGGAAGACAGACTATGCCTTTCCCTTCTGCAAGCAAATTAAATGCTTCCAGATTATATTCATGGTCATTTCCTCTCCTTTTTAAGCAATTCTTCCTCTTAAGGAACTCTAATTCTTTCCAACTGTCCTCAGAGGTCTGATTGTTCTTGCTGCTCTTCCCTAGACTTCTTCCACTGGTCTATGTGTGTGTTTTGTTTTGGTTTTGGTTTTAAAAGCGTGGTACCCAGAGTCAAACAGTACACCTCATGTAAGTCTCCTAGTAATACAGAAAGGAAGAGTCTCTTTGAGTGAGTACAGGCAGCCAATTCTTTCTACTCCTCAGGATGACACACTTATTTCTCAGCACTAGGATAATGTGGACTTCCTCTACCTGCCATCCTTGTAACACCTAGATCACCCTGCAACACTGCCCGTTACTCTCCTGCGCACCGTAAAGTAAGAGGCTGCAGGTGCCAGAAGAGCAAGGTCCTGCCCTCTGTCTGCACTCAGCCATATGATTAACTTTTGCTGTTAGCATATTCACAGAGCACATCTGATCAGTGTGTTCAAAGCTGCAAGTACAAAGTTCCTGCAAACAACATGCTCTGAACACTAAGAGATGAAACATGTATTTTGGCTTTTCTAACTAACAGTGTAAAAGATGTCTTCGTGTAAGAAAAAAAACCTGCCCAATATCTTGTATAGTATTACAAGAAGATTAATACTAATCATTCCCAAAGCAAGTATTGAGGGAATTAAAAAAAAAAAAAAAAATCTAATTAACTTGTCTCCAACAAAGCATTTACCAACATCTTGATTTTGAAGAAAACCCAGAGTAACAAAGAGGTTAAGTACCACAAGTAAATCAGAATAAACCACAAGCCTACATATTCTGGTATGGCAACGTTTTAAAAAAGCAACAGTCTCAATTCCCTGTATAGTAGACACATGTCAAAACAACTCTCTTGATTTCCTTCAGACTGTGATTTTGGTACATCCGTTGTCAAAAGACATTACATCAATTACTTCATAATACTGAAAATATTCAGTAGTTCCTAAAAAACCAGTACTACAACATGTTATTACATATGAGATGTTTTTTTCTTGCTACTTTCTCCTTTTCTCTAGTATCCAACAAAAGGTAAAGGGTAGATAAATGAATTCTCATTTTAGTTTTTCCAGACAGTTGTTTTCATAACTTTTCAATATACCAAAATGCTTTTTTCCAATTCATGACTCATGATGAGGTTCACCTGACTGTATTTCAATAATCTTCATATTCCACATACCTGAAGGCACATGACTGACCACAAAATTAGACTTTAAGATGCACAGCGTATTCAACAATGAGAAACACGGAGAAAAACAACCTGCCGTATGTCTTATACTGAAAAACAAAGGAAGAAACTATTTTTCCTGCACATTCTCTATGCCTCCCAGGAAAACAAGTGTAATCAGTAGGATAACCAGTAGTGTAACCCTATATACAGTAGGATTTTTATAAGAGTACTATAAAATAATTACAAACTAGTTAGCAGTACCAGGAAAATCTGAAATCTCTAGGTTAGCCCTGGTCTTAAACCTCGAAGTGTCATTTTTAGGCATGACAAGTGCAAAATATTTTCTGAAAGTAACAGCAGCATAAACAATGTAGTAAAACCTGCTTCTACCTGCAGAGGGTACAGGAACATACCCACAAATCACTCTACTGAGACCTGGACTAAGACTAAGACCCAGAGTCAAAAATCAGCCTTTAGAAATATTCAGATCACAGCCCAGCTGTACAATGGTACTTCATATACTTCCTAGTTGACCCAAGGATGAAAAACTTCTCTCACCTATCCATCAGTTGAAGGGAGGGCTAGTGCTTTAAGAAATAAACATTTTTTTACAGCTGACAGGACAGATACTATTATACTATGGACCAAATTAATCTCTTTGTTAATAGAAGTAATTTCACACAATATAATTTATTTCCAATAAATTCCTGAGTCAAAAAAAATCCACTTGTTTCCTGCATAGATGCACAACCCCTGTTACACTGACAGCAACCTGTACAATATATTAACAGTCTCAATTCAAAAGTCTATGCCATGTTAAGAATTTAAGACAGTATACCATCAGATAAAAAAAAAAAAAGTCTTAAAAGACAGCATTTATTCTCAGTCAAAATACTTCTATTTTTAAAGATTTATCTAAACAGAACAGAATTACAGGTCAGTGATTTAGATGTGTCACAAAGCTAGGATTCCTACATAAGACTAAACATGTAAGGTTGCCATGGGACATACGAATTTATCAGCAATTAAAAAACCCCAAAAAACCAAACAGTACTGCACAATTAAGTTCCTGACAAAAATACCTTAGAACACAGGACTGTTTACCCTTTCGTGCCCCATTGCATTGACCAGTCTGAAAACAATGAAACCTTTACTGTTTCTTCTATAACAGAAAAACAAGTTTTCCTGCCTCACTAATTTATGTGATCTAAGCAAGCTACTTAATCCTAGAAACGTCACTTTGATACTCAGGAAGGAACTCTTTACCGAGGTTTGTAAGGACACAATAAACAACACATAAGCATGAGCAAAGAAAAGAAAAAATAACCAAGCAACAAAAGCTGTGCCTCAAAATAAGGAAAATCTCAAAAACTGGCACAGGCTAAAAACACAAGGGTAAAACTAGAGCCAAACAACAGTTACTACACAGATAACAAGGAACAGGCCTGCAGCGGCATGAACATGCTAGTTTTGGAGATTTTAATGTCACTTCTGAAAAACAATGACATTAAGCTCTTACAGAAGACAGAAAAAAAATTATTAACTGCATTAAATGTAATTTTAAGGCTCGGAGAATTTGAAACAAAACTGACTACCTAGACAGTCTACCCACACATTTCTCAAATGTTCAAATGAGAGCCGCAATTTAGGAGTTTAGATAATCGATCAGCCTTGGCACAGAACATCTATCACAGGAATAATAAAAAACAGTGTTCACCAAAGCTCAGTCAACTCAAGCATCCCCTACTTGCTATCATCTTTCACTGTTTCGTGGCTGAAGTGCTATTCATACTACTCAAGAACCGAGTAGAGATTGTTTTTGCGAGCAAACACTGTTACTTTATTTGGTGCGTGTTTTTCCTGAGTTATTTAGGAAGACAAAAAAGATATTAACAGCTGTGTGGCCAGAGACCTTCTAGAACTCAAGAATGTACAGAATTATTACTGAATTGCATGAACAGAAAATGAAACCTTAAGAAAAATTACAATCAAGTAGCAGTCAACATACAGAGAGCACCCCAGCCCTTTGCTGTTTACCACCTTGCAGAGTACCAACGTATATCAGCTGAAACAATTACTCTGTTAATGGCCATGGATTAAGGAATGTTGTTGCATCATTGCCTTACGTTGCTTAGATTCTCATCTAGAATAGATAACAAAAATATTTTTTCTACCTCTGGCTGCTCAGTGCTATTGTAGGCTTTGCCAAACCATTAAGATGGAATCACAACTAATACGGAAAATTGGAAGACTGGCTTGACCTGCTCAATCTGGCTGGCAAAAGGCTTTTCTCATTCCAAGAAGCAGTGAGTGCAACTGTCAGGACAGTGAGCAATATAACATTATGGATGCAGTTCAAAATTAAAAGCAACTAGTCTGAAATCTTCTGATCATACACAATATAGCTGCATCCAAGAAAACTTTATTACCATAAGATTGTTTGTTTGGGTTTTTTGTGGGTTTGTTTTGTTTGTTTGATCTTCTGCTTTGTAAGACAAGTAAATATACAGGCAATTACATAATTGGTATCTGTCAACATTATGAAGCTAAATGGCTTACCATTCAGGGGGCACCATACTTCCATCAACTTCCCAAAACGTATTTTTGCCATTCATTTCATTAGTATAGATGACCCATCTGTGACGACCTTAAATAAACAAACAGAAACATTGTATTAGCTCAATTAAAAAAAAAAATCATATAAAGGACAGGATTCATAAAAACACAAGAAAAAGTATTTTGACTAAATATCTACCATTATGGGCACTTATTTCAAAGTTAGTACAGCTTTTATTTTTCTAAGTCTTCCGTATTTCCACTGTTACTGTACTCTTATATGGCTGAATCGAATGCTGTCCTGAGGAAGCAAGTATTAGCTACTGTTTAAGTAACAGGAAATAGGAACTTACAAAACTTTCAGGCAGAGAGACAGGTTTGAGGATTTTTTTCCCCATTAGGAGGAGTCTTTTCCAAAAGGACATTGCCATTAATAACCTAAGATTAAACTAAGTTTCAGCCATACAAAACTACCAAGCAGTGTTTACCAGCAACTGCTTTCCCCAGGTACCCTACAAGTTAACCTACAGTAGACAGAGCTTGGCCTAACCAGGATGTCAACTGCTTATGTGTGCTAGGTTTTTAAGTACTCTACAAACGCTATTTAAAATTCCATTATTTAAGGTAATATGACACTTAAATTTAAGCTAATCTGTGTTTATTTGCCTTGAGTGATCATATAAGTAAATCCAACTGTGAGGCAGTTTTAATGGCAGTTCTCTTCCCCCCGCTCCCCACCTGTTAAGCTATCAGCTTTTAGGTCAAGGAGCAAATCCAGTTCTCAAACACATTATCATATAGACATACCTACACAGAGAGTATCTGGCTTATGTTTATTCCATATTTATTATTTCAGATTGACTATGTTTGCAAATGAATTGAGGGAAGCAGTAGAGAGACAGATGTCAAAGCATTTCTATGAGCCCCCCCTCTTTAAGACTCTGACAAGTCAAGTGTGAGGAAGTCAGGCAGGCAACAAGTCCTATTTCACTACCAGGAACTACATGAGCTACACAAAGTTGGACAGTCAGTCAGGCACCATTCACATTAGCACACGTACCAAAGAAGTTTCTTTTGTCTTCATAGTATTTGTTTCCATATTTGTCAGTTCCTACAAGCGTACCAGTCTTCAAATCATTGACCCTGTGAATTCCCAAAACAACAGTTTCAACTGACATCATCTTAGAATGAAGTTGTGATAAAGGCTTCTTAGGGGTTGGTAAAAATCTGTAATGAAAACTCTTAAACACATGTAAGTAAAGCTATTCAAAAAACTATCAAGCTTAAGGATTGCAAAACACAATCACCAATTCCTGCACTAATGTCAGCGTGCCTTTGCTGTGCACCCCACTGACAGGATAATAAAAGGTATACAAAAAGGCTTTGGGGGGCTATTATTTCTTTAAAAGCTCTTTCTTTATAGTGGAAGATAAAGCAACTCTGCAACGTAGCACAACTTGACACCCACAAAACCTTAAATACTGTGGAAGTCCCAGAGACACATGTTAATTCACTTAGTTGAAGATACTACCATCCTTCTCTACTACCTGTTACTACCATTTCAGCTTGAATTGCCATAGAAAGAGGTCAGCACTGAAGCAGCTTAAGAGATCTCACACGTCTGTGTGGGTACTAACCTCCAGGAGAGGAACAGTAATATTTTAAGCCATTGCAGCTGCTTGCCAAGGAAATGCACACTAAACACTAAATTACAGTTGTTACTTTCTAGCTTTTCATATCACTGTGAAAGATGCAAGCATTCACCCTGCCACTCCAGGAGACTTACACTGACCCAGATAAGGTATATACCAGTTTCAACTCTTTATACAGAACATATTTCAACATTACTGTACATACCAATAATTAAACTGAACCTATGATTTACATTATATTGATAAAACCTTAAAATTAATGAAGTGCTCTTTTCCTCCTAGATCTGCAGCTTTGGTTTCATTTTTACTGACATTTATCCCAGGCAGAATTACCTAAGGAAAAGTTCACTCTCAAAGGTTTCAGTTGTTTGTAGTATTATACGTACTCTCAACTCAGCCCCAAGTGACAGAAGGGACATGCACATGCATGCTTCCTTAGTTGGGAGTTTAACTAGATAACCCACAGACCAAGTTTTTTTGGTCATCTTTTCTCCCAGGGTGCATGAAAGCGATAATCACTCCACCAAGCACTCATTTCAAACCTCTGTGGTCCCAGGCAGAAAGATTCTCTGACGCAGCTCTCCATCGTCAAAAAAACCCGCTCAAAGGTCTCTGGCTCAGCTATCCAAGCCTGAGCTCCCAGCTTCAGAAAAAGAAGAGCCATTTCACTGCTGCTCTCCCTTCCTTCATCCCCTCCCTTTCTCGTAATGGTTCTTATGCCCTTGTCCTGACTTCATGCCCCAAATACTGGTATCAAACACTAAGAGGCATTTATGGCTTTCAGAGGACATTTTCCAGCCAATTTCACTGAGTCTTGAGTAAAGAGAATGTTTCCAGGCACATAGACTCGTAATAATTTGACTTCTACTGCATAAAACCTGTTCCAGCTGCCTTAGTAGGAAACATATAGAGAAAAGCAGGGAAATTCAAAATAAAACCCTTGCAGAGGAGGAGTCTCCTGATTTGGGCAAATAATTTTTTCCAAGCTACCAGTAATCAATTCTTAAACACATCAATAGTTGCAAGAAAGATGGGATGAAAGATTCAGTGGCGTGAAAGGTGAAGGGGAGGCAGCAGCTATGTTTGTGCTTGGTACAGTTATGAGGATCAGGTGTGGTTCTCCACCTAGCACACCTCTCTCCCAACTTCAGACTTCTGAAAGAAAAAAAATAAGAGAGCACTGCCTCCAGTCTTGCATGCTCCCTTTTTCTGTGGGGTAGAAAGGTGTCAACACAGGCTGTGATCTCTGACTCACAAAAACTCCCTGACAAGACATCCATTAAGATAGGCTTAGGAAGAGGCACTCTGGTGAAACCTAATACTCAAACTCTTCTACGCTTTCATTTCCCCCACTCCATTTCTTCTTGAGAACGGCCAGTGTAGTAGCTACAGCCTTAGAAGGGAAACAAAGTGGAGAGAACAACTTGGGAGGGGATGACAAAAAATAATAGTAACAGTAAAATACTAGCCAGAGAAATCATATATTGTCTTAACTTATACTGCTTAACAGTTTGAAATTTCCCTCTAAAAAGTGCAAGAGGAAGGTCTGGGAGCTGCTTTCTACAGTGGAGACAGAAAAGCCAGAAGCTGCCTGCCACCACAGCTAGTAGGAATCCAAAGTTGAGATCTCCCAAAAGTCCAGCTGACTTCAGAAAAGCATACAATATTGTGCCACAAAACAAATGAGAAAATAATTAAAAACTTATAGTAATTGTAAAGGGAGCAATACATTGACATGAAGAAGACAACATGCTCAGCTGAAGAAGAAATACAGCACTGACTGAAGGTTACTAGTGAAGTTCCATGAAGAATGTTGATGTTAGTAGCCTTATTTAAGAGTTTGCAGGGTTCCTGACCAAAACAAAAACAGAACAGAAACCCCACCCCCAAAAAGCACGTGGGTCTGACAGATTATGATATTACTATACAGAGGAAGGTCAGATTATTGTACAGGAAGCTCTGTACTGTCTTCGGGGCTGGCGTGATACCACCAGAACGAAATTCAATGGTATGAAGGTCACAGCACAAGGTGATACAGCTGGGGACTACTAAGATCTGAAGCACTGTGCCTGTGATCACAAGGCAAACATCTGGATGTCACAAGGCAACAAGGAGCTGCCAATTAGGCGACATGTGGGGAAAAAAAAAGACAAGCTGATCCTAGGATGTACCAGGCAAAGTGAGCTGTCTTCAGTGAACAAAGCAAGTACTAAAGCCACTGTATGAAAACACTGACGAGGCCTGATCAGCAACTGTATAAAATGTTATGTTTAACTGTTTGAAACAGATCAATCTAAACTACAAGAAATAACAGAAAAAAGGGCTATTACGATGACTGGGAAAAAAAAGTCTTCAAGAAGGCTCAGTTTATTCTAGTGTAAGAGAGCCCTTGATATATAGCAGGAAATGTTACCTTTGCAAATCCTCCCTATCCCATACTCCTGAGCTCCCACTATTGATTAAAAGAAGGCTTTTTGGCTACATGGTCAGGCCTACAACACCCACTGGACCCTGAAGAACTGTTCTATTACTTTTCTAAGACCAGCTACAAAGATACCACAGGTTACTGACACTGCTGAATTTGGATCATGTACCATTCACACTTCCACCCTACATTTCATCAAGGATTTGCATGAAAAACAGCACCTTAGTAAATCTGCAGCTCCTCCAATTTGGGAGGAGCTTCAAGCATGCTGTATCGCAATTCAAAATACTCTTTGCAAGGTAGGGATGAGATGTGAACGGGGAAAAAAAAAAAAACAGGAGAAAAGTTTAATGTGGACGAGTGCTAGGTTCTGTGCTTGGGGAACAAAGTACACAGACACAACTGAAAAAAAAAAGTTGCAACTATTTCTGCAGAAAATGCCACTGGGGCCAGAAGGCACCCAAAGCTGAGCACAGGTCAACGGTGATGACCCGTTGCCAAAAAGGCAGATGCAGGGTTTGAAGCGCCAAAGAATTAGCCAGTAAGGCAGATGAATGAATCCTCTGCTTTATACCGCAGGATTTCAGCAGAAGCACGGCTTTCAGGTTTGCACACCGGGCAGTTCAAGAAAGCCACTGCCAACCTGAGGGGATCCAGAGCAGCCAGCTGTTGGGCCAGGGCAGTGGCAGTCCCCCAGAAGAAATACAAAGAAAGGCTGAGAGACCTGGGGCTCTGTAGCCCGGAGAAGATAAGACTGAGAGGGGACCTTATCAATACTTACCAATATCCAAATGGTGGGAGTCAAGAAGATGGGGCCAGGCTCTTTTCAGTTGTGCCCAGCAACAGGACAAGGGGCAATGGGCACAAGCTGGAGCACAGGAAGTTCTGCCTGAACATGAGGAAAAACTTCCTTACTCTGAGGGTGGCAGAGCACTGGAACAGACTGCCCAGGGAGGTTGTGGAGTCTCCTTCCCTGGAGATAGTCAAAACCCATCTGGACACCTTCCTGTGTGACCTGCTCTAGGCAAACCTGCTTTGGCGGGGGAGTTGGACCAGATGATCTCCAGAGGTCCCTTCCAATTCCTACCATTCTGTGATTCTGTAACAGGACTAAGAGAGTCTGAGGCTGGACACCGCGAAAACCTGCCTGGGCAATACCGGTACCTCAGCATCGAGGAACCCACCAAGACGCCTGAAGAAGAGAAAACAAGCGCCGGAGCCTGCCCGGGGAACGCTCTCACCACAGGTATCCTGGCTGGGACGCCGGCACA